CGCTGGAAAGGCAGGGGTGGACTCTGGTTCCATCCAGAACCTGTTGCTACGGAGATACCAGCAACAGCCAATAGGACAATGTGAGCCTAGGTGACTAGAGGGCAGGGGAAGAGGAGCGTAGATCCCGCCAGCCTGGTAACCGCCTCTCTGGAGGACATGTCTGTGGGCATCCCCCCAATAGGAGTGGCGAGCACCCAGACGTGGGTCTGGATATGTGTGTGTCCACATACAACAGAGTGTGTGTGCACGTGTATTATGTATTTTCACACACACATATAGGTCTGTATCTGTGTATTTCTGTACATACACTTATGTGCCCATGAGCATATGTGGTTATATGGATAGGACTATGTGTGTTGGTGCCTGTGTTGTGTGTATCCTTATATGTATATGTGTATGTGTGCAGCCAGGAGTTCTGTACAGGGCAGAAGAGTTGCCGTCCCTTCACAGTCCTCTCCTGGCCTGGCTTAGATGCTGCTGAACACTGGCCCAGGCAGGCACCCCACCAAGGGTTGGGGAAGAAGCTGTCCCAAAGTTCAAGGGCAAGCAGAGCAAGTCTAGGTCTCAGCAGGCCTCCATCGGAGCACCTCTCCAGCCTAGTGGAGCTGCTCTGGGCAGAAGCTGGCTTACTCTCCAGCAACAGGCACCACAGACTGGAGTGCCCGGCCTCTGCTCAGCCCTTGCTCATCCCTTACAGTGGGATGTGAGACAGACCCATAATAGAAAGCCACTTCCTTAGCTTAGATCTGTGCCAGCCTCCTTAGGGCCAGGAGGGCAAGAAGCTGACCCTCTCCTTGCCTCAGCCTGTCCATTAGAAGCGTGGTGGCCCGTTTGCAAGAAATCCATGGGCACTAGTGGGAAAAGGTAAATCTGTTTCTCAGGCACTTGAACTGTTCCTGATGACACAGTTCCTTGATCACCCAGTCACATGAATGTGTGTGTTGGGGGGAAAGGGGTGCACACTAGCTCACATCTGCTCTTAGGGACCTTCAGCTCCTCCCAGAGGAATAGCAAAGGGCCATGAAACATGCCACCATGGCGAGGCCTTGTGCTGCCAGGAAGGCCCCTTCTCTGTGTGGTTCTGAGGTTGGATGTGTGCAGACAGGGAAGGCAGCTCCAGATGTGCCTCGTGGGTTCATGCCTGGCAGTTGGCTGAATGCAATGAGAAGGGATGGCAGGAGGAGGAGCAGGCTTGAGGCAGGGCAGACTTGCCCCTGGGCGTTCCGGGTGACAAGTGTAGTGTGGTGGTGGATGGTGGTGGGTGGTGGACAGTGACTATGATAGGGTGTAGAGCAAAGATGGGGTAAGGAGGGGACAGGCGTCCTTGGAGCACGCAGCAGGGAAGCTAATCTGGGCCTGGATGATCAGAGGAGGCCCCTGTGCTCAGAGACTCTGAGCTGGGATCCGAAGGCAGGCAAAGGCTGAGGGTGAAAACTGTCCAGGCAGGGGAAATACCTATGCCAAGGCCTGGGGCTGTGTGGGAAGGAGAGACAATCCTCAGAGAGTTTAAGCATGTCCCACCTGCACTTCCCCTCCCCCTCCTGAAACCAGATCATCCCCAAGGACAGACCTTTTCCGGCAGCCTCTTTCCCACTCCCCCACCCTGCCCCTCAGGGAGACCCTGGTGAGCTGGACACCCCTCGTGGGAGCTGCAGGTGAGGGAAGACCTGAACCCTAAAGGCAGGAAAGACCACATTTCTAAAGAGGAAGAATGATTCCAAGGCCTTGGAATCACCCAGGGCACCTGGTTCCTGCCAAGAAAGACCCTCTCCCTTGAGGGAAGCCCACAGTTGCCAGGCAAGGCCCCGGACAGGGACAGCTCTGGTCTCTTGCCATGTGACCACAGGCCAGTTCCTGCCCTGCTCTGGGCCTTGTAAGTCTGGGATTGAGGGTTCTTCCGCCTAGTGAGAACCAAGACTTAGGGCCTTTCCTCCAACCTCCTCCAACCTGCCCAGTGGGGGCCCAGGGTCCTGCTGGCACCTCAGGGGCTGGTTAATTTTCCTGCCAACCCTTTGCTTCCACTGTCACCCCCCCTCCACATGCTCCCCCTTCTCCTGAACTCATCCAAATCTGTCTCTCTTTACCTCCCTGTCAGAGGACGCCCTCTCCTCCTGCTGCGGGAGCTTTTCCAATTCCACACATTCTCACAGATCTCTCCTCCAGGGTGTACGCCCCGCTACAGAAGTCTAAAGGGAGAGAGACAGGAGTCATTGCAGGCTAATGCGAGGGATGGCGGGGCCCCTTTCCTCTCTCCAGGGTAGTTCTTCCTCTCGCGTGGGTCGTGGGATCTGGGGAGGCTCAGAGGAGGCTCCCATTTCAGCTGTTCCCTCGCTAGTGAGAGCAATGGCCCATTCCTCACCAAGCACTCAGAACTCAGTGCCGTGGGACATGCGCCCAGTCTCACTTGAGGACAGCATGAGCCTCCTGTTGATGTGACTCTGGCCTGTCCCTCAGGGATGTCACCCTGACTTATTGGGCAGTTGACACCTTCTTGAGCTACCATGGACCCGTCTGGGGAGAGAACACCAAGACCAGTCTCTTCCCTAGAGAAAGAGGAGTCTCTGTGCATCCTGTGGTAGGCCTGGGGGAGTGCCCAGACCGGCATCCAACCCCATGGTGGAGCAGAGGGGAGAAGCAGCCAGGCCTGAGTGGAGGACGGAGGCTCCACTGTTGTCACTCCAGCTCCAGGCAGGCTGGTGCTCAGGAGGCCCTCAGCAAAGCTTGCTGAGTGAATGGTGCACTGCTCAGCAGCTCACTCTTCCCTGGGAGTTCGCTCAGGCCTCTTTTTTGAGTGCTGCTTCCATCCCTGACAAGCAGCATCCAGCCTGCCAGCCGAGAGGCCTGGCTGCAGACCATGTCCTCCCAGTCGGATGCATTCATAGATGGCTTGGGCTCTGTCCACACTAGCACTCTCCTACACTGGGAAAACCGAGGCCCAGAGGGAAGAACCGTACTCAGGTCACACAACACACCTGCAAGTGGCAGGACAGAATCTGGGTCTTGCCCTCTTGGGCCCTGGGAGCTCTTTCCACAGGCCTGGGACCCCCAGGACAACCTTGGGCGGAGAGTTGCTTCTCCTTTCACACTCTGAGAGTGTGACTGTGGGAGAGACCCCTGCTCCTCTGGGACACAGCCCTGTGGCCCAGAATGAAACCCTTCAGAAAGACTATCCCTCGCTTGAAAGACGGGCAGAGACTGCTCCTGAGCCACATCTTTGCGTGCCTTCTGGTCAGAGGTTAGCGGAAAGCTCAAATCCTCGGGGTTCCAGAGGCCCTCCCTCAAGCACCACCGCTCCCCCACAGTCAGGGATGGGGGCAAGGTGTCTCAGAGCCGACCAGCCTCGGGAGGAGTCGGGGGGTTTAAGCCCCAAGGAGGGGCACCCCGCCAGGCAAAAGAATGGACCAGACAGACAGCAGGGCCCAGCCTGGAGCTCCTATCCTGGCTCCGTAGGGAAAGTACTGCACGTCCTGCGCAAGCGCGCCGCCCAAGTCGAGCCGCTTTGTTCTAGAGCTACCTGCGGGGTCCATTCACCTCCGCTGCCCCGCCTGCCTGCAAATCGACACACAGCGCTGGCGGAGTCCCCGCCCACTTCCCCGCGCTGGGTGGAAACCGCGGCGGGCCCCGCCTCCCTCCGCCACCGCCTCTTTCGGCCAGGATTGGCCGTCTGCATGGCAGGCGCCCGCCTACCGCGGAAGTTGATTGGTCCATTGAGAGGGAGGCTGGGGAAGGCAGGCTGATTATAAAGGAGCATTCCCCTCCCACCGGCCCCGTGGAAAAAGTCACGTGGCGCTTCACTGGGCGCCTGTCACCACCCTGCTTGTAAAGCTTTCTTAAAGGGCTCGCGTTCCCTTCCCAGAGCTGTTCCTTTCCAGGGTTTCTCCACCCCTGCCCACGGAAGGTGGCACGGCCCTGAGTCTTCCTACCCCGCCAGTTGCCCAGGTCCTGATTTCCCATCAGGCCTGCTGGCGTGAGACGCTCCCCCTCAGGTCTGGAGCCTGTGACCGTCAGGAAAACGATGAGGTCCCCCGAAACGGTGACTGCCTAGCACAGTGCCTGGCACGTAGTAGGCGTTCAATTCCCACTTGTTGAATGAACTCGATGACAAAAAGAATGAATGGGATAACAGGCGGGAGGAGGAGAGGTTGCTCAGCTTGACCACCACCCCCCCACCACGCCCCGTCCCAGAAAAACTATGCTCTTGTGAATGTGGGGTGGGGGTGCCAGGCATAGGACGCCCCCAGGGCCGCTCTTCCCGTAATGTCCAGAAGAACTTGGGAGCACGCGCAGAGTGAACCCGTGAGGGCGTCTGGGCCGGGGCCCCTAGGCGCATCGCAGTCAGCTCCGGGCTAGTCCAGGGGGCGACGGTGCGGAGGCGGCCGG